TTATAAAGATTATAAATTGCAGAGCAGATACCAAGCCATGTTGGTAAAGGGAGTTTTCTAAGAAACTCAGGAGGCAGTCTCTATATCAATGAAATAACAGCTCTAGTAAAATGAATAAATGGATAGATGGATGGGTGGATGAATGAATGAATGAATGGGGCTAAAAATATCTGAAATATTTACTGTACTGGGTTTCTGTGAGGGCTTGTAGAATACTTTACAAACCTTGAAGTGCTATGTAAAGGAGAATTCTTATTCTTATGAAGCATTGCCAATCATGAGAGGTAAGAGGTGAGGCTTGTACTCCCCCAGCTTTTTCCATGCTGTCTGGTCCATGAGACAAGAGGCACAATTCCAGACTTACATCAGGGAAATTTCTCTTCTAGAAACCCCTGACAACGTAGCATCACCATTCCCAAGCTGCCTGAGGGCATCCTGAGCCTGACTCTTTGCAGACACCCTCGTGCTGCTGAAATGCGTAAAAGTGAGCTAGTGTGATTAAATCTACCAGCAACTGTTTAACTGTCCCTCTCTCCCCTCTTTTAATTTCCTGAGAAAAATCACCCCTGCACATTACTGCAACAGCATGTAATGCATCCAGAATATGGTGGCACCATTTTCCTTAATGCTGCCCACACTACTTGCTATCCACATCTATGATGCTAGCAACTTCTCCAATAACTGTGTTTAATATACCCCACTCTTTTCAGCTCTCTCTTCCTCCTTCTTCTTCTCTGGGAGGGATGTGTGTGTGTGTGTGTGTATGTATGTGTAGTTTGGCCTCTTTATATATGCCTGGAGGAAATTGGCTCATTCTAACAAGGGCATAGACATCATTCCTCTGTTTATTGGCTAGTCATTTTATTAACAATATACTTGCTTCTGCCTAGAGTTATTTTCCTAAGCTAAGAGACCACACAGCCTAGCCTGGTACCTACATATCCAGTACTCTTTTCTCTATGGCCTTCCTTCTTTCACTTCTTTTGAAAGGGTATCTCATACTAATGGCACACTCAGTTTCCCTCTGCCAAGATGGGTAGGCTGCCAGCTAACTTCCTTTCTTCCCAAAGCTTTCCTGTGTGAAGCAGAAACTGCTCCTCACCTTTATAAGCAAGGTCCCCCGGACTCCAAGGCTCCTCGCAAGAGGGATATTGGGAGCCCTTTCTAATTTGACTCAACTCCAATCCACATTTGGGAGGGATTGAAGTCAATTAGTTCAGTGAATTAGGCTCAAGGGATTCACATGGAACCCAGTGCCAATCAAGGCAAGGTTTCAACTATCTACACTGTGTTGTAGCCTCGAATGCTAGCCCTGTGGAGGCCATGACTACTTCCTGCATTACTATTCAACCAGATCAGTCTGAAGTGTGGGAGGTGGATGGGTCATAAGTGTAGAGAGGGAAGGGTCCAGAGAAATTATCTAATTCAAACCTTTCATTGTACAAATGAAGAAACTGAGCCCAAGGGAGATTAAGTTAATCATCCCAAGTCATGGAGGTCAACATAGGGGGCAAGCATCAGAGGTACTATTTGAACTCAGATCCTCTGACTCCAGATTTAGTGTTGTTTCTACTGTAATACTCTGATTTCACATCAGTGCAATCAGCCATTTAACAAAAACAATTACTAAGCTCCTACCATGTACCAGGAACCATGCTATGTACTGGAAGGATTTTCTGCCTTTCTAACCATCCTCCTTAAGATCTCCCTTTATTTATGTCTTCCTTTTAATTTGGGGGCAATCCTTCCCTGGAAGGCAATACCTTACATTGCCTATTTGTGGGTGATAAGATTTCCTAAGTTCTCAGAATCAATCAGGTTTGTTCCATCTTTCTCTTCCTTAGTCCTGAGGGCAGGTAAGCCTCCCACTAACCCTCCTCCCTCCAATAATCAAATGTGAAAGGCTTTTTTACACACTTGGGATTTCTAGTCCTTTCACTGGTGGTCCTTTCCCCTGTAATTTGTTGCTGCCTACAGGAACGCCCCATTAAAAATGTTGGGTCTGGTAAGCATGACATGGCCACCCACTGTAAATGTGACCTCTTGTTAGCTTCTCTTTTAAGAGCCTTAGGCATCCTCACCGTTTTTTTCCCCCCTAAAATCTCCTTTTAGAGTCTCTAGCCATGATGGGCTAGAATTCAGGGGTGGGGAACCTGGTGCCTTGAGGCCACATGTGGCTTTCTAGGTCCTTGGGTGCAGCCTTTTGACTGAGTACAAGTTTTACAGAATTCAAATCCTTTTATTAAGGGGATTTGTTCTGTGAAGTTTGGATTCGGTCAAAGGGCAGAACTTGAGAGTGTCACCTGTGGCCTTAAGGCCATAGGTTCCCCACCTCAGGGCTAAATGATAGGAAGTACCACAAGGAGAGCATGGGCTTCAATGGATGAATTGAGTATTGTTCCATCTTAGGAAACACATTTTTATTGACCTTCAGTTGCATTGACTTAGGGCCCTCTTGATGTCTTAATAATTTTTATACATACGTACATATGTATATGTAATACATTTATGCAGATATATACACACCTATACTTAAACTGCTTCTCAAATGAAATATATGTGTATATCTACATATATAGCTATGTGTGTCTATATGTATACATGTCTATATATGTATAGCTACATCTATATATCTGTCTACCTTTCTATATTTCATTTAAGGGAGGCATTTTGGAGTAGTAGATACAGAGAAAGCCACAAAGATTTGGGTTCAGAGGTCCCACCTTTGACACGTATTAATCGTGTGACCCAGGACAAGTCACTTGACCTCCCACTGCTCTACTTAACTCCAAGGCTACAAGTTGCAAAGAAGGTGCTGACCTGCACTGATAGAGGTAGTTTCTTCTAGGAGTTCTGTAGATCAATGAAATGCTAGATCCCGTCTCTATCCTCCAAATTACCTGGGCCTACAATCTAGTTGTTTGTTATCTTTGACTCCTCACCCTCTCTTTCCAATCTGTTGCCAAATCTTATCTTTCCTACCTTCACCTCATTTTTCTTCTATGTTCCCCTTCCCCCATTCACCCAATTGCCACTGTGGTGCAGGCCTGGGCTACTGTACTAATCTTCTGGTTGGTCTCACTGCCTCAGTCTCTCCCCAGGCCAGTCTATGCTCCACTCAGTTGCAAAAATAGTTTTCTACAATGGAGTTCTGACAATGTCACCCCCTACTGAACAAAATTTGATGGCACCCTATTACCTTCAGGATTAAATGTGGAATCCTCTGTTAGGCTTTTAAAGACCTTCACAACCCAGTCCCTTCGTACCTTTCCGGCCTTCTTTACTCCTCTCTACGCACTCTACCATCTAGTAATAATGGCCCTCTTGACGTTCCTCAGAGACAGCATTCCGTCTCCTGACTCTGTGTCTTTTCACTGGCAGCCTTCACACCTGGACCGTTTCCTCTCTCTGCACCTCTGTTTCCACCTCCTGGCTTCCCTGGCCTCCTTTGTTACTCAGCTCAAATTCCACCTTCTACAAGAGGCCTTTCTTGGTTCCTCTGGCTCTTCATGATTTCTCTCTGAGATTAACTTTCATTTACATTTATATCTCTTGTATGCCCTGTTAATTTTTACCTTTTGTTTGTTATCTTCTCCATTAAACTATAAGATCCTTGAGGGCAGGGTCCATGTTTTTGCCTTTCTTCGGATCCTCAGCTTCTAGCACAGTGACTGGCACATGGTAGGTTGTTGTTGACTGACGGAGCTCTGCTGCTGTTCCTAGGATTAGCACTGATCAAGCTATGATACTCACAATACCTCTAAGAACATTCAAAATTCAAAAAGAATTTTACAATATGATTCTCTCTATTGATCTGTCTGAGAACATACTGGGCCATCTCCAGTTGTCCTGATCCATATCACTGGACCCATATTGCTCTGGAGGAGAAAGTGAGGCTGGTGACTTTGCACAGCTCTTCCTCACTTAAATTGAATTTACTTGCAACTCATGGCATCACGTCCCTGATGTCATGGTCCTCTTCAAGAACAAAGGACAAGGGGCAGCTAGTGGTGGAGTGGATAGAGATCCGGCCTCGGAGTCAGGAAGACCTGAGTTCAAATCTGGCCTCAAACACTTGACCCTGGGCAAGTCACCTAACCCTGATTGTCTCACCAAAAAGCAAAAAAAAAAAAAGACAAATGGCAACCTTTTTCTAGCTATCTTTTTTATGGTTAGAGCAACCCATAAGCACCATTTCTTTTTTAGGACTGTGTTGTATGTGTGTGTGTGTGTGGGGGAGGTGTATGTGTTGGGTTGAAATAATGCATCCCTGAAACCCATGGATTCCCCTGAAATAAGAACTGCAAACAATGATATAAAAACTTGTGTGTTGAAAAGAAAAGGAGTAATGGATTTGACCCCACTGAGAAATTTAGTAGCAATGGTGAGTACACTTAAATTCAGTTTTCACTAATGTCCTGTTTTAATTAGTGCATATACAGGTGGCAGTTCTCCATCTGCATGTCTCTTTCACACAGACCCTGGGGATCCTTAAACCCTCATTTCTTTGGGTATGAGAACGTACTAGACTGTATAGGGCCAACAGTAGTCACAAGGCTTTTTTGGGTATTGGTGACCAGAAAGTGGCTCCAAAGTCCCATAAACTTTACATACATACTTACTCTATACATTCCTTTGGAAACACTTTCATGTAATTTTTATCTGTCTCAAACTACGTTTTAAACTATTGTACGGCAAGGTCCATTATTTTTATTTTTATTTCTCTATTATCTTCTCATGGTGCTTGGTACTGTACAATGCTAAGTAGATACTTTCTCAATGATGTTGGCTGCCAATAGCAATTCATTTTCTTTTCTGTTATGGTCTAAATTTCCAAAATAAAAGGAAACACCTCGAATTTGAAGACCCTAAATGTCCCCTCCCATAGTCACCCTCCCCCTTTCCCCTTCCTTCCCCTCACACAAATTTTGTTTTGCTGAGGTGAGCTGATTTGTGGCCGAGAAGTTAGAGAAAAGCCAGACTAACTTTGTGAATGCCATAAAAATAAACTATTTTAATAGATACATAAATAAAGTGTTGATCATAGAAACAATAAAGTTGTCTAGCTTCTGCATAGAAACCACACTAAAATATTCCAGGTAACTTTTAAGCAAAGTCATCATCTCATTACATTCAAAATAATAGGTGAATGTGGTCTATTCAGATTCTTCAGCTGGGTCATTTCCCTTCAGTACTCTCCTTATTCCAGCAGTGTTTACAGTAACTCAGACTTTTACAGTGCTTTGTCATTTAGGAGGGTGAAATTTAAAAAAAAATTCTACTGTTACTTAGAAAATACAGTATAACAATAAAAGCATCATTTGCATTGCCATTGATGACAGCAAAATAATTTTTCTGTCTCTGTGAAAAATAAATTATGCTTTTTATGCAGAAGTGTCATTTTTTATTAAAGCAATTAAGCAATAATGAGTCTTTTTTTTTTGGCTGTGTGCTTGAAGGTCTTTTCTTGCCCTTCTTATACATGGAAGACCATATGAGGTACAAGCTGTCTCCCATATGAGTCTCACCACTTATTTTTGCTGGAAGAAAAACTTCAGCCAGGAAAAACAAAAACAAAAACAATAAAACCCTAATAGCAAAACATCTTCTCAGATGTATAAAACACACACACACGTAAACAAAATCCAGTAAGAAATTAGGTCTTTTCCAAGGCTATTTCTTTGGCCTTGTACTGTGCTTGCCTGAAGTCAGAGTTTTGTTTGGGGCCCTGTAACCCCCTTCACACTAGCAGGATTCTCAGTTGTAGTCATATTCCCCCTTCTTTGCTTCAAAAAAAATGGCCAATTGCTGAAGTACAGAAACTGTCATGCCAACACCTGACCTTTATGAAAGGGGCAAGAATAAAGCACTGATGACAGCACTATCTGAAATACTGCTGCCTGTGGGAATGGCATCTTTGGTATGACGAAGAAGAAAGTTCTTGACAAGGCTATTTGTGATTCTCTACACGGTGGGTCAGGAAGACTGAGGTCAAGTCTGAGACTGCTCTGCATTGGCTTGGGCTGAGAACAGATCTGGGGTTTTCAGGCAGTCTCAATACATAACTGGCTTTGACAGTTTAGCCAGGGAAAGTATGGGACAAAGTATGGATGGATTTGAGTTTCATCAAACACTGTTTTATGGTTACCCACGAGTAAGGGCTGTTTGGCAATTTGGAAACTGCCCTTTTTTCCGAGGTTTTTTCTTCTTGGTTTTAGGTTTTTTCTGCTTTTTTTCAGTCTTGCTTTTTCCTGGTTTCCTTTTCTTATCATCTTCTTTGTACCACGGCCCCCAGACTCCTCCATTGAGCCTAGGGTTACTCCTAGGGTCTTTGGGTGGATACCTGACAGGGACTGCAGTTTTATTGAACTGGGACAGTCTCCGTAAAAGCTTCTTCACAATCCCTGGATACTTACTTGAAAGGTCCACCCGCTCATACGGGTCAGCTGTGATGTTGAAAAGCCAAACACTTTTGCCGGCAGACCAGGAAATTCGTTCATTATGCCACCGATTGGGCCCGGCATTACTAAAAGACTGAGGGGGGACCCAGTCACTATAACCTGGATTCCCTGTCAACAGTTTCCAGTGTTGGACTCTTATTGCTGACTGTATAGCTGTGTTCCAGATCCCAAAGCCTGCTGCCCAAGAACCATTTTTGGCTTTTGTGTAAATGGGGTCAATGTTGTGCAAAATATCTACTCGTGGAGACCGCCGGCCTTCACTTATGGTCTCCCAGATGTCATAACCATCTAGCTGAGTGTCCTCATCAATCCAGCCTTCGGCCAGTGTAATCAGCGTGGGGTACCAATCTGTGATGTGCACAAGCTCTTTACATATAGTTCTCTGTTTTTTTCAAAAGTGGGCTGTGAACAAAGCCAACTGCTCGTATTCCTCCTTCCCAATAGGTCCCTTTGCTTCCCCTGAGAGGCCAGTTGCTTCCTCCTGCCATGGGCTGTCCTCCATTATCTGAAGAGTAGATGATGACACTGTTGTCATAGAAACCATACCTCTTTAAAGCCAGGGTCACGTTGTTGATGGCTTCATCCAAGCATGCCAGCATGGCAGCGTATCTCCTCCGGTTAATGTTGATAATGGATCTGTAATGTTCAAAGTACTTTCCTGGTGCCTGAAGTGGTGAGTGAACAGCCTGGTATGCAATATACAAAAATATAGGTTTCCTGGGGTTGTGAGAAGCTAAAATCTGCTGCACTTTCTGAGTATACATCTGCGTTGAGTATATACCATTATCGTGGTCCCAAGCAGCGTTGTCGTTCTCGTACAAGTCATACCCACACATCCCTGGGCTATCACATTTATAGTGTGTATAATAATCACCACTTCCCAGGAGGGAGCCAAAAAAAGTATCAAATCCTCTTTTGGTTGGCATGCATTCTTTCCGATAAAACCCTAAATGCCATTTTCCAACCATATGAGTTGAATAGCCAACTTCCTTTAGTTTCTGAGGTAGGGTCGCATTATCCAGAGGTAAGCAATTGGGCTGAGTAGGTCTTATGATAGAGTGCTGAAGTCCGGTGTGTATCTGATACCTTTAAAAAAAAAATTAAAGAAAACACAAAATGTAAATATAGGGCAGGCATATTTTACAAGGACTAAATAATTATTTTAAATATTCTTTACAGAAAGTGAAATACATGCCATGCTTCTATTGTTAATATATCAGATTAACACCTTAATCAATACTCTTACCATCTAGTTAATATTTGAAACGTACCTTAAATCATTGTTCCCTAACTCATGGGTTTCTCTGATGATCTCAGGTGATGTAGCAAATCACCAATATAATTTAATTCAATTCAACAAACATTTACTAAGAACCTACTATGTGTAAGACATAGTAGTTTTTCAAAAAGAAAAATAGTTCTTATCTTCAAGAATCTTACATGCTACATCACATCCTTACAACATAATTGACTTAATGAAACATAAATGTTTTTCAAAAATGTGTGTAGCGGCAAAGACCTAGAAACAAAATGGACGTCCATTGACTGACGAATGATTAATTCAATGGTGTAATGGAATACCACTATAGGAAAGACTGAATATGATGGATGTACAGATAATGGGAAGACTTAAATGAACTGATACAAAGCAAAGTAATCAGAATCAGGAAAACAAAACACATATTAAGCACAAAAATGTCAACACAAAGAACAGTAACAAAAAACAATGACAGCTAAATGTTGACAATTTATAGTGACCAAGATTGGCCCCAAAGAGACCTCCCATCTCATTCTTCATAGAGGTGTGGGACTAACTGGGGTCAAATACTGCATATCATGTCAGAGTGTTCAGATGTTGGTTAGTTTTATCAAATTCTTTCTTTGTTTCTGGTTTGTATTCTTTGTTATAAGGGATTATTATCTGGGAGGGGGAAGGAAGAGGGATACATTGGATAATTAAGGTGACAAAAATTAAAAGATATCAATAAAATTATAATTAAAAATATACATCTCTTAGAAGACTTTAAGGACTAGGGAATTGCTGGACAGGATCAGTGCTATTCTAGACTCATTCAGCCTTTTTAAATTCTAAAACAAATATAGTATATATTAAGTGTTTGCTATATGTATGCAAAATAACATGTCACATCTGTAGTATACTCTAGGAGATATTCATAGTACCATAATCCAGCAGATAAGCAAAGTTTAGATTATATACTACCCCAACCCTCAGAGATAAAATCTAGTAAGAGGATAAGAAAACAACAGTGATAATTGCTTTAGGGTATCATAATTAAGTGCTAATATTTAGAGCATTATAATTAAGTGCTATATAAAGTCCCAAGATGAAATGTGCTATGAACTGAGGGGAGCAGGAGAGAATACCTGGAGAAGAAACATTTGAGTTGGACTTTAAAGGCTCAGTAGAAATTCAAGTGAAAAGTGAGAGGGAAAACATTTCCAACAAAGAATTCGAGATAATATTAACAAAGGGGTGGTGGTATAGGAACACATGCAATACTCATGGGGCACGTACTAGTCCAGTTTGGCTAAAGCATAGAATACATGGTGAGAGTAATGATATCAGATACAACTGGAAAAGTAGGATGATGCCATATCCCAGAGAACTTTGAATGCCAAGCAGTAGTGACTAAATTTTACTTAGGAACCAACGGGGAACTTCTAAATATTTTTTGAGTAGAGAAAAGACATAATCAGATATATGCATAATAAATAGGATTCTTATAGCAGAATGAAGGATCAGTTAAATGTGGGAAAAGAGGGGATTTGGGAAGACCTATTATTAGATATTTATTCCAATAGCAAGTCCAAGAAATTGTTCATATTATGAGGCTGGTAGTGGGAATAGGAGGAAGATCCACATATGAAAGTTGTTGTAAAAGTGGAATTGACATGATTGATTATTGATTGGATATGAGAGATGAGGGAGAGAAAAGAGACAGATAAGCTAAAGGTTATAAACATGGGAGACCAGGTAAAAAGTTGTTGTCACAGACAGAAAAAGAAAAGTCAGAAAGAGTAACAGATTTAGGGAGCAGATAATGGACCATGTTTTGGAAATATTGCATCTGAGATGCTGATGGGTAGAAAAAGGTCTTCAGGTGGAAACGTCTTCTAGATAGGTGAAGACATGGTGGAACTTAGAAGAAAAGTTGGGCCTAGAGATACCATTTTGGGAATCATTTGTATAGCAGTGATAGAAAAATGAATGATTATCAGCAGAGAGAATGTAGAGAGAGAAGAGCTGAAAGATAAGGACATATCCTTGGTGAACATCCATATTAAGAGAATGATGTATCAGAAGGAGACTTGATTGTAAGGATACCAGGATAGTGAGATGTGTCTGAAATCAAGGGAAGATAGACCATCCAGTAGGGGGATGTTGGAAAGTTTCAAAGAGTTTAAGGAGGATGAGGACTGAAAAATACCCTTGGCTTTGGTGATTATTGAATTATTATTGGTGATCTGGCTTGCTTAGAGAATGTGAGCAAATACAATGGTGTGATTGGAACAGAAGCCCCATTGCAAAATAGTATAAGAAACAAAGAGTGGTCCACAACTGGAGTCATTGATAGACCATAACTTTTTGAAGTCAGAGACTAGTTCATTTTTGTCTTTGTCCACCCAGCACCTAGCATGATGTGTGGCCCATATTAAGTAATTAGTAAGTAATTATTGGGGCAGCTAAGTAGTGCAGTAGATACCATGCCAGGTCAGGAGTCAGGAAGGCTCATTGCTGAGTTCAAATCTGGTCTCAAACACTTACTAGCTGTGTGATCCTGGGCAAGTCACTTAACCCTGGCTGCCTCTTAAAAATAGCATGTATATGGAAAATTAAATTAGCAACATATATGCTAAGTAGATACAAAGTAATTTCTGTGGGGAGGGTACTAGCAAATGGGAGCATCCAGGTAGGTAAAAACTTGAATAAAGCTAGGCATTCCATGAGGTAGAGATAATGAGGGAATACAATTTCAAACATGGAAGGTTTCCTGTGCGAAGTTATGGACCTAACAGAAATGAGTGAGGCCAGAATTTGGAAGACATATTGGAGACCAAGAATGATCAAGGGACTGAAGTTTATAATAAAGGCGAAGAGTATATTTAATATTAGAGTGGAAGAGGTGAAAAATGAAGAGATTGTGGTTGAAGGGTACAATTTCAAAGCTCTCCTGCAATTTCACAAAGCAATAAGGTCTAAGGTGGAACCACGTGAGTAGGTGGCTTAACAATGATGGAGAAGAGGTCATTAAAGTTGAAAAGATTGAAGAAATATGTGATTGTTCGTTAAATGGGGAGAATGGAGACCACAAGAATGGTGAAAAGGACTGGAACGAATAGGAAAACCAATGTTGATTTATTGAGAACATTAGAAGAAGCATTTGGAGGTTAGTAAATGTCAGCAACAAAGATGGGGAGAGTTAGGGTTAGAAAATTAGGGTTAATATTAATATAATAAATAGATTGCTTGGAACATTAAAGAAAAAAAGGCATAAAATAGTCACAGGGGAATAGTATCAAAGCGATAGTAGAGAATGAGAAATCAGGCCTGTGAATTGAGGAGAATAGAACGAGTGGCCTCTGGGATGAGTTATCTTCAGGGGAAAGGCTAATTCTGTTAAAAGAAAGAGGCAGAAAGAATATTGACTAAAAAGATCTTGTAGATAGGGAAGCCTGTTGAGACCAGAATTGGGGTGGAGAGCACAGTAGAATAGGATGGGTAAACTGTTTTGAGAATGAATATGATGATGAGCTGAGGAGGGAGAGTGGTTGGTGTGCTTTATACGTATGTGTATCCCATGAAGAAGGAAATGCCTGATGCTTTTTTTTTCTTATCAATAATTAATTATAAAAATCCTTACAAAAGAGATATTGTATTCTAACATAGATGAATAAGATTTCAAAGGTAATTTGTACTTGGAAGTTATTTTATTCCCACTCAGAGCTCAATCTCGTTAGGGTGAGAGGTTCTATAGTGTTCAAAACAAGGTTTAATTTCTTTTTATGTGCAATTCCTACATCATTAGTAAGGCAAATGAACATCAAAGTAAAGGAAAGGAGGAAATTCTCCTTCCACAATTCAATCTACATCACAATCAATAAACTACTTGCAGAAAGTCTCTTTTATCCTACCAAGTACTTTTGTAAAGCTATGCTGCCATAATGTTTTTCATTCAAAAGGCTGTTGATTTGAGTAGCTGTTTTCATTTTGCCGTCTAATACAACTTTTCATTAACTACTGCAAATCAGGTAAGGTGAAAGCCAAACCAAACCAAAACAAAATCTTTGGGCTGTACAATACAGAATTGCTGGGAAAATGTGGTAGATTAACGTTGATTGTTAGTGTTAAGAGCCCCTTTCCTAAGACAGCAAGGAAAAGGTCTCTCATGTTCCCCTCTTTAATATTGTTTTGTTTTGTTTTTTTCATTATAACGCCTTGTAAATAGGATCTAAGGAAATATAGTAACCTTGAATGTAAAGATGAAACTAAAATTAATGTTAATTTCTGGCATCATTTTCTTAAGTCAACAATCTTTTGCCAAGTGAATTCTTTCCAGGAATGGTCATTAATACATAAATCTGTGAGTTTTCCATTGGTCCAAGATGTGCATATTAGCTCACTATACACCCAGATATTATATATATATATATATATATATATACACATATATATACACATATATATGTATATATGTGTATATATACATATGTATATATACAGATACACATGTATCTGTATATATGTAATATACATATATAGACACATATTTCTCTGGAATATATGTATGTCTATGTATGTACGTATGTGTATATATATGTATGTTTGATGGGGTACGTTCTAATACATGTTAGAGGTAGCTAGGTGGCACTGTATATAGAGAGGTGGGCCCAGAGTGAGGAAGAATTGAGTTTAGATTATCCCTTGGACACTTACTAGCTGTGAGACCTTGGGCAAGTCATTTAACTACTGTCTGTCTCGGTTTCATGTAAAATGGGGGATAATAATAGTCTCTACCCCTGGGTTGTTGTGAGGATCAAATGAGTTAATATTTGTAAAGTGCTTA